AGCTGCTACTCGGTTTTCTCATCCGATAGGCTAGATCTATATCCAGTGAGGCATCTGATACCATTGTTAAAACTAAAACAGGATCTTTAAAAAAACTCGACCTGCGGGGGGTTATCACGGCCCCCGAGTATTCCTTTTTAAGAAGAAGATCTTCTCACAGATCGAGAAAACCCCCGAACCCCGCCCCCATCCTGACGCAGGAGGTACCGTTACCCTCTGAGAACCGGGCCGGGGCCTTCCACTACGCTTTGGCACATGGGGACGGGCGAGGGGATTTTTTTAACCTCAGCCTGAAATTCGCTCCCACGGGGAGTCGAACCCAGGACCTGAGGAGTGCCGCTGGGTCACCTAACCGTTTGAGCTAGGCGTCCTCTAGGCATAGAACTAGCATGTCTACTTGCACTTGGATAAACCGTGAGCCCTAGAACATCTACTAGTACAGTAACAGTAGATAGAACGAGAGAAAGAGAGGGATGAAGGGTGCAAACCATCGGCTGCCTTGGAGGAAGATGGGCTCGCCATCGCAATGCTTGTCGATAACCCGGTGGTAGTGCAGTAGCGGTGTTGTCCGGGGTCGGTGTAGACGCCGCAGGGCAGCCCGGCGTCGTAGCAGTCCCCCGGCGTGATGCAGAGGCGGTGGCGGCGCTTCCCGTCGCTGGCAGCGCCCCCTCTGTGATCGGCTACGGTTTTAGGACTGTAGGTGGGGTGCTAGGCGGCTCAGGCGAACCTCGTGACTCGAGCGCCCCGGCCCCCACCTCCTATTTATGGCGCTGTGCGACGGGGCCCCACCAACCATATTAGGGTTGGGCGCCCCCGATTAGGGCGCAGATCTAAGGGCCCTATTGGCTGGTGGAGATCAACTAACAGACATATCCGGGACGAACGTTTGCAATGGCGTATAAAGAACAGAAAAGAACAAACTCAGTAACTAAGAACATATCTTAATCTTATATATTCCGTTCTCGTATAGTAGAAAAAAACAATGTACTTAAAGAACTAACTGATACAAATCTTAATCTTATACATTTATTGGTTTTCTTTTCCTCCTTTGGTTTCAGCTATTATCCTCTCAACTCTTATTGGAACTCTAAAAGCCACTGCCATGGCCCGTGATATTCACATTGCTGCACCTGCCGTCTGCTTACCAAGGCAAAGAGACATTGAATATCGGTGCACATGCAAGTGAGGCAGCAGAGGAAGTTGATTTTCTGATGGTGAGTTCTAATTTTCTAGCTCACACACTTGACCAAGGTTACTGGATATTCAAATAGTTCAGTATCATCATGGTTTTTGGCAGAATGTTAGATGTTCTTCTGATAAAGCACATAGAAAAATTCAGATTAGCAAATGTCAGAACAAACTGAACTTCATTCCATTACAGCTCTGAGTGGAGAAGTGAACAATTGGTTACTGAACAATGCTACACTGGTTTTACTTGAAGTACAGTTCAAGCAACTTCTTCAGGGTATCAAACACGCTTGTAAATGGGTCAAGTGCGACTGGTGCCTTTAGCTTGAGATCTGGGAACTGATTCGTCAGGGCCTCGTTCATCCCGGGCATCGACATCATCAAGGCAATCTGGTCTGAGGACATGTACTCGCAGTCTTGAGGGGTGTCCTTGATCTTGCTTGGGTCATAGCCGAAGTTGGCAACATAGGACTTGTACTTCTCAATGAATTCTGGCCCAGGGTTGGGTGTTCTTGAGTATATCTGATCAATGGCCGAAAGATGTTATAGTGCTTATGGTGTTTCAGATTACGAGTGCATCAGATGAGATGTGTTTACCATTATAAAGGTATACTTTCCGTACTTGCTTAATATTATTATCATTCAACAGCACACACTTTTCAATGTTCAGTTATGCATAAAACAAATAAACTTTTTTTTTTGAGGTAAAACAAATAAACTAGGCCTACTTCATTGATTATATTATCAGTTCTTAGGACAATTTGATGGTAAGATCTTTTTTCCCCAGGACTAGCCTGGTTAAAACCACAAAATAAAGAACATTGAGCAGTTCAGAGTTCAGCTCCTCACCTGAATAAAGCTTGTATCCTTAGCTCCAGACACAATTGCATAATTGTCATAGTCTGTTGCAAGGACATCATAGGGTTCCTTGGGTATGAATGGCAGTGTGGGGAACCGGAGAAAGCATTTCCCACGGATCATCTCCTGCCTCTCGAGATCTGTCTCAGCGCTTGCCATGTCCTCTTCAGAGAGGCATTGCACCCTCCCACGAATACCAGTGATGTATCCGTCAGGTCCACCGTGGACACAGAATGTATCCACCTGGATTGAGCGTGCCTTCTCATCAAAAGAATACACTCCCTGCAGTTCCAAAAAAATTGTACAACATCCATTTACAGACTATATCATGCAAAGTGTATGGAAAATTGGAAATACCATCCCTATCTCAAACAATTTTGTTATTAAGATGTCAAGTGCTAGTTTATCATGACTGATTATTATGATATATTATTGCAGCACCATCATGCACAGACAGAGATGTTTTTTTAGATAATGGAGAAATTTCCGGCTTCAGACATCCTCTCCAATCTGTTTGATGTTTCAGGCATTGCAATACCTGAGTACAATGACAGTCTTCTTGTCCCTGACCAGCAAATCCACGTTTGAACGAGGCTACCTCAAACCATCTACCAGAGTAGCGAACTGGATCGAAGTTCTTGGCGGTCATACCCCTCATCATCATCCGTGTGCTGCCGTCATCTGAAGGGTTGTCAAACTTCAGAGGAACTGAAGCACTGTCAATGGATGCCACTGTTGCGATCTGGCACAAGCCTGGACGGGCAAAGGTTTCTGCAGGAATAGCCTGGTCAACAAGAAGAGTTCATCGACATTGTGGAATGAATACTAATTTTAACTGGTAATCTTACTCCCATTATTTCCATGCATGTAGTGTGCACTGAAGTCAGCTACTTTTTGCTTACTTGATTGAATGAATCATGTGGCTACTCTGGTGCACCTTTGCTCTTTCCTTATGTTTCTTTTGATGAACAAAATTGATCTGTATGTGGTCTCTAAACCTTAGCTCTTTGGTGACACGTATGTGCATACACTAAGCAGCTACAAACGTAATGCGAAAAGAATCCTCTTTGTGGTCTCTAAGCTTTTGTGTTTGTATCGGATATGGTACAAGTGGATCTAATAAGATGCTGGAACATGTAAATAGGTACCTGACTAGGTGGAGAGACGAACACAAGCGAAGCAGCAAGGCATGAGATTAACTGCTTGGATACTAGCCCATGTTTGTTCTGCTGTGTTTCCTCATTCAGAGAGCATCTGACCATTTTCTGTCCGTTGGTGCTACATCTTCTCCTGCCAAGCCGAACCAACAGACTCAGTGTGGAATGGCATTCAGAAAACCAGTAAGTTTTACTGCAACTTTTCATGCTTCTTGTCGTAATATAATCTGGATGAACTCATCTGCATCGCATCCAGGCCAAGTGGCCAAGGAAGGCAATGATAAATCACACACAACATTCTTTTCGCGAGCTAACTGCCAGAGTGGTAGTCACCATAGCTGGATCATTAGTAAAGTGGGGATTTCATTTAGCATCTATATTCAGGAACACCCAAACACGCTTGAGATTCTAATAGCATCTCAAACCTTGCCGTCAGTCCCCTCCCCATTGTCAACAACAACCACCACCCTCAACCTGACCCAGTCGACAAGCATCACCAAGGAAAACTAACCATAACGCCGGCACTCTGTTCCTGGGCCAGTACCTGGAAGCTGGAGAGCAGTCTGGGCGCGACGATGCAGGAGAGCAGCCCAGCACCACGAGAACCATGGTGCTCTCCCGTGGCCTCGGTCGCCTCCAAATTTCAGGAGTCAGGACAACGAGATCGATCACTTAAGGTTTCTTCGCAGCGGATTATGCAGTGGAGTTTCGCTGTCCATGGTGTGGTATGGCAGTTGGTAGCTCGGAGATGAAAGGGGAGCTGCTCTGCCTCTGCTGCAGCCTGCAGGCCGATGATGAATCTGGGACGGGAGTGAAGGTGAAGGGCATCCAGCGCCATCCAATGGGAGGTCCCCACGTCTGCCGACTCTCGGATTGGAACGGGAAGATCTCGGAACGCGAGTTCTTGACATCTCTGTCCTTGATTGGGCCTGGGCCGAATCTCATAAGTGCAGGCCGGATTGTTACGTAGGCCGCGAAGAAAGCCCGCTTCCTGTTCCCGCTCGCTGCCAACGGCAACCCAGTTGCTGTCTTCTTGTTCTTGCACCTCTGCCTGTCCGCCATCACTATCCTCAAGATTCGAGAGGAGTAGAGTAAGCAGCTGAGGGAGATGCCGTTCGTTTCCATTTGATACTCCCAGCCTGTTCGCTTGCTCGTAAACGATCGTAAATTTCCAGCCGGGAACAGTGTTTTTTTCTCACACCAAACCAGCCAACAGTAAATAATCCACGATACGATACGGCCTGCCGAACAGGCTGTCCATATCTCGATGCCTCTTTTTCCATTTGATACTCCATATCTCGATGCTTCGACCTCGATACCACTAAACTATCAGAACTGGCGCTGGCGATGGGCCATTGCTCACATCTTTACAACTCTGCCATCTCCACGCTCCACTCTCTCCCTGAACAACTCCTCGCCATCTCCACTTCACCCTGCACACTGTCAGACTCACAGCTCTTCTGCATTCCTCCACCACATCTCAACGCCTTCACGAGTTAACGTCATTGTGTCAACCTCTGGAGCCCGCGCTCCAACCAGTACTGGCTCCAACAGAAGCCTCTGTCGCCTCTGACCCTTGGTAAGTATACTTTACTTTGTTCTTCCAGTTTTTTCCCCCTGAAACAGTAAGAACGCTAAATCTTCCTGGCTAGGCAGCAACGAATCACATCTGCCGCATGTTTTTACTGCATTCGCGATTGACATCAGTAATTCTAGTGCCTAATTGCATCTGCAAACGAATTAGTCTTCCTCGCAGGTTGCAGCATCCCCAAAGATCCACTGTGTCGTTGCCTGAGGATGGAGGTTGCCGCTGTCAGCGCGGCGCGTTGGGTGCTGAGCAAGGCGTTAGGCCCTGTCACGGACGGCCTGTTGGAGGCATGGGCGGCCAGTGCGGGGCTCGGCCCCAACGTTGAGACCCTCAAGATGGAGCTCCTATACGCGCAAGGGATGCTCGAGAACGCGCAGGGAAGGGAGATCCGGAGCCCTGCGCTGAAGGAGCTGCTACTTAAGCTGCAGCAGCTGGCGTATGGTGCTGACGACGTGCTCGACGAGCTTGACTATTTTCGCATCCAGGACGAGCTTGGCGGCACCTACCATGCCACCGACGTGCACGATGGGGGCTGCGTGCACGGCCTCATCCTAAACACACGCCACACTGCTAGAGCTGTTGCAAGGAAGCTGAAGCTCTCCTCGGGCTCGCGTGAAGCAAGCCGTGGCGATCCTGACCCTGATGAGCATGAAGATGGGGCAAAGCAAGGATGCTTCTCTGTCATCTGTTCGTGTGGCAGGCGTGCGATTGGCTCCACACCAAATTCGCCCAACATCCAGAGTGACCAGAATGGCGGGTGCATATCAAAGGTGGCTTTGAGTGCTCGCCGGGCTGCACATACTATAGGTAAACTCCACCCATGCTGCTGATTTCCATGTGTCCGTGATAATGCTCACTCTGACATGCTGGAGGCTCCAACATGCAGGAAATGGATGGCCAAGGTTCTATTGTGCTTGTTCATCCAGGGTTCAAATTCAGGAGGGAAAACGTGTTGTGCAGATACCAAAATTGAACTTTGACAGGGTGGATATATCCAGTAAGATGAAAGACATTGTAGAGAAGCTAAGGCCTGTATCTGCCAAGGTCTCCACCATTCTTAATATGGAGCTGTTGGGTTCTGCTATTCTTAAGCTCGAGCAATTTGGCTCCAACCGTACCACAACCCAAAACAGTGCTATGGGCCGTCTGAAGACCACTCCAGACATTATAGAACCTAAGTTGTATAGGAGGCATAATCAGAAAAAGATTATTATAGATGGCGTTAAGAATGAAGAATATTTTTCAGATGGCCTAGTGGTGCTTCCAATTGTTGGTCCTGGGGGTATTGGGAAGACAACTTTCACACAACACATATTTAACGAAGTGAAGGGTCATTTTGAGGTCCCAATTTGGTTATGTGTCTCCCTCAATTTTAATGCTAGTAGGTTGGCACAAGAAGCAGTGAAAATAATTCTTGAAGTTGATGGTGAAAACAAAAAGGGTAGTGATCAAGAGCGAATTGAACAGAGATTGAAAGCCAAACGGTTTTTACTTGTGCTAGATGACATGTGGACTTGTCACGAAGATGAGTGGAAAAAACTACTAAGATCATTTAGAAGAGGGGGAGAAAAGGGGAATATGATCATAGTGACAACTCGAATTCCAGAAGTGGCAGATATGGTTAAGACAATTGATTGTCCAATAAAAATGGATCGTCTAGAAGACAAAGATTTTATGGATTTCTTTGAAGCATGTGTGTTTGGTCACCAGAAGGCATGGGAAGATCATCCTGAATTGCGTGATGTTGGGGAGAAAATAGTGAGCAATTTGAAGGGTTTCCCTCTTGCAGCAAAAACCGTGGGTAGAGTACTAAGAAACCAACTTACTTTGGACCATTGGACAAGAGTTCTAGAAAGCAAAGAATGGGAACTACAGACCAATGAGAATGACATTATGCCAGCTCTAAAACTTAGCTATGATTATCTTCCTTTCGATCTACAACGATGTTTTTCATATTGTTCTTTGTTTCCTGAAGATTATGAATTTGGTAGTGATGAGCTAATTCACTTGTGGATGGGATTAGATATTTTACACTCATCTAGTCAGAACAAGAGAACTGGAGATGTTGGGCTGAGCTATCTGATTGACTTGGTTAACAAGGGATTTTTTTATAAAGAATGAGAAAGATGATGGTACTTCTTATTATGTCCTACATGACCTACTGCATGATTTAGCAGTGAAAGTTTCATCATACGAATGCATTACAATACTTAGTTCCAATGTCAGGTCCATACAAATCCCAACTTCAGTTCGCCACTTGTCCATCATCATAGATGACAAAGAAGTTGAGAACAAAGAAAATTTTGACAACTTCAAAACGGAACTAAGAGAACTGGACAAAAGACTGAATACTGAAAACCTACGTACATTGATGCTTTTTGGGAGACACCATGGAAGCTTTGCCATGATTTTTGGTCACTTATTTAGAAATGCTAATGCCCTTCGCGCTATTTATTTGTCTGAAGCATCATATATTGTGGAGGATGTGTTGAATAACTTTTCAAAACTTGTCCATCTTCGGTACCTAAGGATCAAGTCGAAGTACATGGAGGACATATGCTTGCTGAGTTCTCTGTCTAGACTTTATCATTTACAAGTCATAGATCTGCAGGAGTGGGAACGTTGCTCTGGTTCCGTAAGAGATATAAACAACCTTGTAAAATTGCGTCACTTTCTTGTGCCAAAAGACAGGCTTCAGCTTCACTCTATCATAGTTGAGGTGGGGAAACTAAAATTATTACAGGAACTAAGAAGCTTTGAAGTTGGAAAAGAAAGCAAGGGCTTTGAACTAAGTCAGCTAGAGCAACTATCGGAACTTGGAGGTTCACTTGCCATTGGCAATCTGGAAAGGACACAAACAACGAAAGAAGCAAGTGAGGCAAAACTGATACACAAAAATCGTTTACACAAGCTGACATTAGAATGGGATGTCAATAGACCTAACAAGGATCCAGCACACGAAGCAAATAGTCTGGAGGTTATGAAACCACATAGCAATATTCGTGGCATATGCATTAGAGGGCATGGAGGTACTAATTGCCCAAAATGGCTAGGTGAGGACCTCTTTGTTAAAAATCTGGAATCTCTTCGTCTGGATGATGTATCTTGGAAACATTTTCCACCAATTGGAGAACTGTGGATGGTCAATGAGCATGGTGAGGAGCATTTGGGTCGCGTACCTCATAATAGGTTTCTAAATTTGAGAAGGCTAGAATTCAATAAGCTGCCAAGACTGAAGAAATGGGCTGAAAGTGACATGTAATTTATTCTCTCACCTGGAAGTACTCATCATCACGCATTGCTTTGAACTCACAGCGTTGTCATTTTCCCATTCGACCTGCTGTCAACAACAGAAAGAGGCCAACATGAAGTGGTTTCCTAGACTACGGGAGCTCAAAATAAAAAAATGTCCAAAATTGTTGTCTTTTCCTCCTGTTCCTTGGACTAGGGCTCCGTGCTCAGCTGAGATAGAAGGAGTTGGTTCAGGCCTTGAGGAACTTGTTTGTAAAGAGAATTACAAATCTGAATATTGCTTGGAAATTAAGATGAAGGGTGCTCTGGTTAGTGAGTTATGGAATATGTTGGCCTTTGATAATCTAAATGAAGTAAAAGAGTTGAAGATGGACACATGCCCTCCTCTCCCACTGCATCACTTCCAAATGCTATCATCCCTAAAGAGCCTCAGGTTAATCGGAGCTTCAAGTATTGTCTTTCCGTTGGTAGAAGGTGAGAGGCATGCCGAATATCAATCTCCAGTTGAATGCATAACCATTAGTCAGTGGGATGCTAGTGCGAAGGAGTTGACACAGCTACTGACTTATTTCCCCAACCTCTCTGAACTGAATGTGTGGTCGGGCAAGAAGATTACATGGCTAGCTGCAGTGGAGAAGCAGGCAACAGAAACACCTGCGCTGGTATCTTCAGATAATAAAGTAGACGACGATGTAGAAATCGAGCAGCAGGAAGGCACAAGAGGAGAGGAGGAAATAGACGCATCATCAGCAGAAGGGCTGCTGCTCTTGCCTTCCCAACTACAGAAGTTGTTGATATACAACTGCCCAGAGCTGAGCCTCTGCTCATGCTCCGGTCCAGCCGACTACAAGTACAACAAAGAAGCAGGACGAACTAGTACAGGAAGAGGGCTCCAAGGTTTGCGCTCCCTCCGATCGTTGGGGATCAATGATTGCCCCAGGTTGCTCTCCTCCTATTCGTCATCCTCCTCTTCTTCGTGTTTCCCCTTCCCACCCTCCCTGGAACACCTCTCTCTTATCGTCGCGGTGGGCACGGCCACGCTGTTGCCTCTCTCAAACCTCGCCTCTCTCACAAATTTAACCATATTGGGATGTGGGGAATTAACAGGCGAGGGACTGCGGCATCTCCTCGCCCAAGGTTGCCTCACCAAATTAGACGTCCTCAGAACCCCCAATTTCTTCGTTGGTCCCGAGCCCCCGCTGCCCCATGAACAAGAGTTCCCATCCTCTTCCTCCAAACTACAAGTGCTTGAGACGGATGACGTCGCGGGCGTCCTTGCCGCGCCCATCTGTACCTTGCTCTCTCCCTCGCTCACCGAATTGAGATTTTGTTGGGACGAAGAGGTGGATCGCTTCACAAAGGAGCAAGAGGACGCCCTTCAGCTCCTCACCTCTCTCGAGGATATCATATTTTGGGAGTGCGACAAGCTGCAGGGCTTCAAGGACTACGCAACCTCAAGAGATTAAACATCTGGAGTTGTGCGGCCATCCGGTCGCTGCCCAAGGATGGCCTCCCAATTTCACTGCAAGAGTTGGTGTTAGCCAACTGTCCAGCCATCCGGTCTCTGCCCAAGGACTGCCTCCCAAGTTCACTACACGAGTTGAATATAATCGATTGTCCAGCCATCCAGTCTCTCCCCAAGGACTGCCTCCCAAGTTCACTGCAAAAATTAGTGATCAGAGGATGCCCAGCCATTCGATCGCTGCCCAAGGCGAATGACCTACCAAGTCCACTCCGAGAATTGGATGTCCGGGATAGCAAAAACGAGGAGCTAAGAAGGCAGTGCCGCAAGTTGATTGGAATCATTCCAGTTGTCTACGCCTGACTTAGCCAAGGTAACAAAGAGGTGGAACTTCCTCCCCACCAATTTTGCTTGCATTCGTTAATCCCATAAAAGTCAGTCGTTCTCCTTTTATTTATTTGACTGCAATCATGGTTTCCTTCAAAATAACCCACTTGTTTTCACCTACTGTGCAGGGCTTTTTCTCAAATTGTACATTCTTCTAACCTCCGGATTCTCACTGTATCTACACATGATTCTGAGTTGTCAAGCATTAACAACATGTCAACATCTCAGGATGAGCCTAACATGTACATGAAAATGGTTAGTATCCTATATGCAAAATACCCTTCAGTCCCATACAACATTTACAAGTTTGATCCACATTTTGATAATCTACTGCCTGTTGCTTTTGTTATTTGGATGCCTTTTGTTTATAATCATCATATAGTTCGAAACATCTGTATTGTACTTGAGAAAACTATCAATAGAGAGAATTTTCTCACTCAGAATACTGAAGTGTGAGTTTAGCTGTTTTAGAATGCCCCACAGCTTGCAAAATATGCTCCATGTAATTTCAAGTTGTCTTGGGGGCACTGCTACAGAAATAAGTACTTGTCGCTGAGTGACCCAGCGTCCGGTCAATAGACCGACGCGCGCACCCTCTGCTGCCACCGACCGGACGCACCGGTCCAGCCGAGGCCAGCGTCCGGTCACTTACAGTGATCTCCAACTTTTCTATTTAGGGCGCCGGTGGCACCGTCGGACTATCCGCACTCTACAGGCGAACACTCCGCCGGTGGAGTTTCTTACCCTTGCACCTAAACTTCACCACCCTTGATCAAATGTGCCAACCACCAAGTGTATCACCTTGTGCACATGTGTTAGCGTATTTTCACAAACATTTTCAAGGATGTTAGCACTCCACTAGATCCTATATGCATATGCAATGAGTTAGAGCATCTAGTGGCACTTTGATAACCGCATTTCGATACGAGTTTCACTCCTCTTAATAGCACGGCTATCTATCCTAAATGTGATCACACTCACTAAGTGTCTTGATCACTAAAACAAAATGGCTCCTACATTTTATACCTTTACCTTGAGCCTTTTGTTTTTCTCTTTCTTCTTTTCCAAGTTTAAGCATTTGACCATCACCATGCCATCACCATTGTCATGATCTTCGCCATTGCTTCATCACTTGGAGTAGTGCTACCTATCTCATAATCATCTTGATAAACTAGGTTAGCACTTAGGGTTTCATCAATTAACCAAAACCAAAATAGAGCTTTCACCTTCGTACTCCACAAGGTCGATTCACCGATCAGCCGCGACAAGATCCGATCGCCGCCTAAGTCGCTTCGCCGACCAACACCACGACGACAGGCAACCCCTCCAGGGCGGAGCAAGGGACAACCGCATTGAACATCACCGCCAGCACGACCAAGAGGTCGACCAAGACGTCTGAGTGCACCTCAACAACCTCTGGGATGCACGACGACGTATCGACGAACGCCGCTTCGGTTGCCATGAAGAAGAAGTACGCCGCCGCCAAGAGTACGGGCAAGAGTACGGTAACCCAGACTTAGCTCTTGAGCCGCTCACCGCCGGCAACGCTGCAGACGACGACGCCGACAATCCTGAAGGGCCCCAGCATTCACGAGGGCGCTCCGAACACTTCAGTGGCCCCGTAGTTTTAAAATCACTGGGGTCGAGCCCTACGAAGGAAGGATGAACCCAACCCAATGGCTACAGGATTACGCCACTGCTGTCCGCGCCGCCGGAGGAGACACCAGTGTCATGGCGAACTATCTTCCCGTCATGATTACGCTAGCCGCCATGAGCTGGTTTACAAGCCTTGCCCCGGACTCCATCGGATCCTGGGAAGAGCTGAAAAAGTCTTCATCGACAATTATATGGCTACGTGTACTCGGCCGGACACCAAGCATGATCTCAACCGTATCAACCAGAAGCCGTCCGAGCTCCTCCGTAGCTACATGAGACGCTTTTCCGAGATGAGGAATTCTATTCCCAATATCACGGAAGCTGAGGTCATCACCGCCTTTATCCGATGACTCCATCACCGCGAGCTTTGCTCCAAGTTCAACCGCAAGCCGCCCACAGGGATTGGCGAGATGATCATGACCGCCAACCAGTACACCGACGCCGAGAAAGCCGAGGTGCGCTTCAACGAGGATGCGGGCACTCATCGCCCACCTTGCCGCTGCGATGACTGCCCCGACGACCGACGCCACAACGACCGCCGCTACGACGACCGCAGTTACCATCGGGACAACGGTCATGATCGCCCAGAAGGATCCAAGTCTGGTCAAAATCGCCGCCGCCGGCCAGACCACATCGTCGCCACCGTTAATGAACCTCGCGCCAGGCGCAACTACGACAAGTAGTACAAGAAGATCCTCGATGACCCGTGCCCCCTCCACAAGAACGCCAGGCATAAAATGAAGGACTGCCTCGGTTTGGCTAAGGAGTTCCAAGACAAAAAGCTTGACGACGACGCCAGTGACGGAGCCGGAGGCCGCCGACCACCTAGGGGCAATAACAATGCCTTCCAGGATCACAACAAGATGGTCGCCACCATCTTCGGGGGCCTCGCCTCCACCCAAAGCAGAAGGGAACGGAAGCTCGCCGTCCGGCGGGTGCTCGCCGTCACTACGGAAGACGCCGCCACTAACCCCAGCTATCGCCCTTGGTCCGAGGTCCCTATCACCTTCAGCAGGGCCGACCAGTGGGCGGACATCCCCTACACAGGGCATTTCCCCCTCATCCTCGATGCAACCGTCCAGAAAGTGCTTTTTAGAAAAGTGTTCGTTGACGGTGGGAGCGCTCTGAACCTCCTCTTCGCCGGAGCCCTAAAGGAGTTGGGCCTCGGGATAACAGATCTCACACCCCATCCAAACCGCTTGGAGAGATCACCTTATCAGTACAGTTCGGTACGACAAGCAACTACCGTGTCGAGCACATCAACTTCTGCGTCGCCGACTTCAACACCGCCTACCACGCCATACTTGGTCGGCCAACTCTGGCCAAGTTCATGGCCGTACTGCACTATGCTTATCTGGTGCTGAAGATGCCTTCGCCTGCAGGAGTCTTGGTCTTGTGGGCCAACCTCTCCATCGCTTACGCCTACGAGTCAAAGAGCCTCGCTCTCGCCGAAGCCACCGACCTCTCCATCCAGATGGCCAGCGTGGTCACCGACGCCAAGACGGCGCCCGCCGACGACCTGGAAATCCCATCGCTAGAGCCTCTTCGCGCCTCCGCCAAGTCCAAGGAAACCAAGGAGGTCGGCTTCGGCCTCGACGACCCCTCCAAGACCGTGAAGATTGGGGCTCACCTCGACCCCAAATAGGAAAGCGCGTTCGTCTCCTTCTTACGTGCCAACACCGACGTGTTTGCTTGAAAACCTGCAGACATGTCGGGGGTGCCACGGGAGAAGATCGAGCACTTCTTGAATGTCTCGCCGACCGCCAAACCGATCAAGCAGAAACTCCGCCGATTCGCGCACGCCGGCATGAACACTATATTGTTAAACTCGTCATATTTTACCAAAAAATGTGACTAAAATGGAATCCTAAATATTTCTTCATTAGTTTTCCATACCACACAATGTGAAGTTTTATACCTATAATAAAATGATGTCACACATTTATTTTTAGATTAGATCAAACTTATTTTGTTTATGTATCTTATAACATTTTACAAAAAAATAATTTAAAGTTTATTGTTGTAATAATAATAAAACAAATCTTATCACAACTATAAACACGTGTGTAAACAAACAATTAAATAGCTTCTTCGGATTGTCGAGGAAACCCATGAATAACTTCTTCACGTGGCAGAAGTCATCAGTTCGAGCCTGATTATCCCTAAACCTAATCTGAGTTTTTTCTATTTTGAGTTACTCCCCCACCAAGATCGAACGGGAATGGATAAGAGGCTTGTGGGGTTAACATGTTAGGGTAGGGTTGGCTATACTGCTGGTGGCGAACTCCAGGCTAATAATCTGAAGCGCTTGAATAAAAGTTATCCTTAGAAGGAAAGATAATTCTGAATCCGCTTTATCTACGAATAAGGAAGCTATAAGTAACGCAGCTATGAATCTCATGGAGAGTTCGATCCTGGCTAACGTTGGAGAGTCACGCATAGATACTTCTCATGCCCTTTTCCGCAGTCTGGACTAAACTCATCAGCTCCGTGTCCAGGCTAGGAACGGCAAGGATAGTCACATCACATACAGGATGGCTTTTTTGAGGTAACTATGGTAATAACCGTAGCTGGATCTCTTGTAAAACCTTGCCGTCCGTGGCCTCTCCGTTGTGATTTGTGGACAACCACCATCCTCCTCAACCTGACCCAGTCGACAAGCATCACCAAAGAAAATCAATGGTAACACTGGCACTCTGTTCCTGGAATTGGTAGCTGGGCGCGGCGATGCAGGAGAGCAGCCTAGCACCACGAGAACCTGGCGCTTTCATGTGGGCCGTAGGCCCTGGCCTCGCTCGCCTCCGAGTTGTGGCATGGTGGAGTTTGGCTGTCCATGGTGGTGTGGTCGTGTGGCATGGCAGCTGTTCGGAGATTGAAGGGGAAGCTGCCCTGCTCTACCGTTGGCCGCCCGTGGGAGAGAAGCGCATTCAGCGCCGTGCCAACTCTCGGATTGGAACCTGGAACGAGCTCTATCCTTGACTGGACCTGGGCCTGGGCCTGGGCCGTTCCCGCTCGCTGTTCCAATCGCCGAAGTGGCGCGTAGCGACGGCACCAGGTCCCGCGCTCCATCGTGGTTGACTAGTCGACTCCAGTAATTGTTCTGTGAACAAAAGACGAAACAAAAGGTTTACTAGTAATTCTTTTTTTTAGCAAAAGGTTTACTAGTAATTCTCGAAGAAGAACGTTGATTTTCAGCAGCCTGAACCAGGTGCATGTTTAGTTCCCAAAATTTTGCAAAATTTTTCAAGATTCCCCGTCACATCGAATCTTTAGACGTATGCACGAAGTATTAAATATAAATAAAAAATAAAACTAATTACATAGTTTAGACGAAATTCATGAGACAAATCTTTTAAGCCTAATTAAACTATGATTAAACACTAATTACCAAATAACAACGAAAATACTACCGTACCATTTTTCAAAAATTTTCGCCAACTAAACTAATCCCAGGTTACGAGGCTACGAAGCCGCAAACCTGGGCAATCGCAACGCATCAACGGAGCAGTGAAATGGTTCAGACTTCAGAGCACGAAGCCGCTCGCTCCAATACTCTGCAGCCTGGCTCACCGTCGCCGCGTGCTGAAGAAACGCGACGACTAATCACTGACTGGACTCTGCTGTGTCGAGTCCCACGCGTTCCCACTCCGTCCCATGCCCTGCCCTATGGACCTGTGATGCGTACGTACTCCATGCTACTACCCGCCCCCGCGACACAAGTCAGTCTTTTTTTTTTTTTTGACAACACACAAGTCAGTCTTTGATCACCGGCACCGCACATGCCAAGGCCCCATGGAAAAGTTTTCAGCCAGCTAGGCAGGTAGCGGATCCAGACCTTCAGCCTCAAGGTTGTCTTCGGAGGGCTGTTCGCTTCTTTTATAATTCATCTTTTTTACTTATTTATTTAGCTAAAACAGTGTTTTTCTCTCATAATAAATCAGTTGAAACAGTATTTCGGTTTGTTTTTTCAACGAAACGAACGGGACACGTGCCGAGCGATGATTGATTCAGGTCGACTGGCGGACTGGAGCCTGCGGACCACCAGATTGGCTTTGATAATTCACTCCTCTCTCTCTCTCTCAGTCCCACTGTCCCTGTTCGCCATCACCATCGCTTTGGCCGGAATCTCCTCAGCTGGCTCAGTGCTCCTCCATCACTCACCTCGCCTCCACTCCGTATAGATAGATTGGCCTGCTGGCCGGGCTTTAATCATCGGTAGTACCATCTTCCACGTCGTCTATGTACTGTAGCACATGGGTGGTGGGACTACGAGCAGTGGAAGTGGATGCATTCTTCCCTCCTTGCAGTCCCACTGTCCAAGCAAGTCCACCATTGCTTTGCTTGCTGGCCGAAGAGTCTGCTCAGCTACTCGGCCACCTCACCTCACCTCGCCTCCACTCCACCAGATCTCGAGTTCTCCACCGCCGCGCCAGCGCTCGCTCTTGCCCTCGCTCCCCTGTTGGCGCCAGTGACATGGGTTCCTTTGGGTAGGCGCCAGCGCCAACTTCGGTTACCAAGTTCCTGTGCTCATTTCCCTTTCCTTGGGTGAGTACGGTACGCCTGTGTCTGCAACCTCAGGATCCTTCTTCTTTTTCCTCCTCTTGCGCTGATGGATGGATTATTCCTTTTTTTTTCCCTGATCCTGCAACCAGCACCACTCGATTTCTCCACCGCTGCGTCAGCGCTCGCTCTCCCCTCCCCGCTCCCGGATTTGCTTCTTGGCAGCGGCAACAACAGCAAACAGGGATTTTGTGTTGGCATAACAGCACCGGCGATCAACTTCTGCTCATTTCCCTTGGGTTGGGTTGGGTTGGATTTGGGTGAGTACGTCTCCTCATGTCCTTATTTATGTTTCTCTACTTCCATTTTCTATACTCTGGTCTGGTGACCCCAGTTACCCAGTATTTTTTTTTCTTTGGTGTCACGATGGCATTTCTTATTCCTAAGCGATTTATTTCCTCTTTCTGCGTGCGTGCAGCGTCCAAGTTTGAGTTGGCTGTAACCAGTGTAACGTAGTACGCGCGAGCATGGAGCTCGCCGTCAGCGCCGCGAGCTGGGCGGTGGGCAAAGCGCTGGCCCCCGTCACGGGCGGCTTGCTGGAGGCGTGGGCGGCCAGCGAAGGGCTCGGCCCCAACGTCGACGCCCTCAAGGTGGAGCTGCTGTACGCGCAGGCCATGCTCGAGAACACGCGGGGCAGGGAGATCCGCAGCCCTTCGCTCAAGGAGCTGCTGAGCAAGCTGCGTCAGCTGGCGTACGACGCCGACGACGTGCTGGATGAGCTGGAGTACTTCCGCATCCAGGACGAGCTCGACGGCACCTACCATGCCGCCGATGCGCACGCCGGGGGGTTGCGTCCACGGCCTCGCCCTCAACGCTCGACACACCGCGAGAGCTGTCGCTGCTAAGCTCAACCTCTGCTCCGGCGGCTCTGCTGGTGACGTGATCGTTGCCGGTGATCCTGCTCAGCAAGATAAAAACGCGAAACAAGGATGTCTCTCTGCTAGCGTCTGCTCATGTGGCGGCCGGCAGACGGTCAGCTCCTTACCGCCATCTCCTACCAACCAGGATGATGGCCAGGAGGCTGCACCAGCATGTGGCTTCAGTAAGTGTCTTCTCTTCTCCCTCCCGTGCTGCTTTTTTATATTACCATCTGTTGGTGCATGCTCTGACTTGTCCGAGGAACATAACATGACAGGAAATGGACGGCAATTCTTGGGTGCTGTCTTGCCTCCTAAGGTGCAACGATGCTTCTCGGGCGTTTGCTTGTGCCGCAAGCGTGAGACGAGCTCGTCACCACCAGCACCCAGCAACCAGTGCGAAAAGAAGGTTGGCGGTGGATGTGGATGCCTGCTCAAAGTCAATTCTACTGCTCGCAGCGCTGCCCAAGTCGTTGGTAAATGCTTTCCATGCTGCTCTTTTCCATCTGACGGCGACGATAATACTCACCCTGGCATGTTGGAGAAAACAAACATGCCAGAGGATCAAAGGAGATTTCTCTGCTGGACGTCCAAGGTACAAAAGGGGAAAAACACTGCACTACGACCAGAACTGAAGTTTAACAGGGTGAACATCTCTACAAAGATGAAGGACATCATAGAGCATCTCAAGCCTATATGTGCTAAGGTCTCCAACATTCTGAACCTAGAATTCATGGGTACAAACCGGGCACTGAAAAAGACATTGCTAAGAAACGGCCTATAACCACCCCAGAAACTACGGAACCTCAATTATATGGGAGGGAGCAACAAAAGAAAATAATACTTGACATTGCCCATGGTAACTCTTCTGCTGATAATGAACTAGTTGTGCTTCCGATTGTTGGTCCTGGAGGAATTGGGAAGACAACTTTTACACAGCACGTATATGAAGAACTGAAGAACAACCCTTTTGAGGTCGCAATTTGGATATGTGTCTCCCTCAATTTTAATGCTGGTAGGTTGGCCCAAGAAGCCGTGAAAAAAGTTCCTGAAGTTGATAAGGAAGAAGAAAACAGCAGTGCCGAAGAGCTAATCGAACAAAGATTGAAAGCTAAGCGGTTTTTGCTTGTACTAGATGATATGTGGGCATGCCATGAGGATGAATGGAAAAAATTGTTAGCTCCATTTAGAAGAGGGGGAGGAAAAGGTAGTATGGTAATTGTGACCACTCGGATTCGTGAGGTGGCAAAAATGGTTATTAAGACAGTTCACTGTCCAATAATAGAAATGGAGCGCTTAGAGGGTGAAGATTTCATGCATTTTTTTGAAGCTTGCATATTTGGTGGTCAGCAGCCATGGGAAGGTCACACGGACTTACGTGAGGTTGGGGAAAATATAGTGAGCAAATTGAAAGGGTTTCCTCTTGCAGCAAAAACTGTTGGAAGATTACTAAGAAGCCAACTTACTTTGGAACACTGGACTAAAGTTCTAGAAAGCAAAGAATGGGAACTTCAAACCAATGATGATGACATTATGCCAGCATTAAAGCTTAGCTATGATTATCTTCCTTTCCATCAGCAACAGTGCTTTTACTATTGTGGTTTGTTTCCTGAAGACTATGAATTTGACAGTAAAGAGTTAGTTCACTTGTGGATTGGACTAGATATTGTACAACCATGCGACCTGAACAGAAGAATTGAAGATGTTGGCTTGAACTATTTAAATGACTTGGTTAATCATGGGTTTTTAAAAAAGAATGAAAGAAAGGATGGTTCTCCTTATTATGTTGTCCATGACCTACTACATAATTTGGCAGTGAATATTTCGTCATTTGAATGTCTCAGCATATGTAGTTCCAACGTTAAGTCAATACAGATTCGCCAAGATGTACGTCACTTGTCTATCATTGTAGATAACAAGGAGGTCGAGGACATAAATACTTTCAAGTATTATAAAGATGACTTGAGTGTACTTGATAAAAGATTGAATGTTGAAAACCTCCGTACTTTGATGGTGTTTGGGGAACACAGTGGAAGCTTTGCCAAGACTTTTTGTGATTTATTTGAGAAAGCTAGAACCCTTCGTGCAATTTATTTATTTGGAGCATCGTCATATGCTATGAAGGACATGTTGAACAAGCTTCCAAAGCATATTCATCTTCGTTACCTAAGGATCAAATGGACTGATGGCACAGAAGATGACACAGAAGACATAGACTTTAATCTTAGTGTGCTCGACTAGACTTTATCATTTAGAGGTCATAGATATGCAGGAATTCAAAGGTCACTATGGTTTCACTTTCACTTTCACAAGACATATGAGCAACCTTGCAAAGTTGCGCCACTTTTTGGTGCCACAGGATAAGCTTCAACTTCACTCTAACATAGTTGAGGTGGGAAAACTAAAATTATTGCAAGAGTTAAGGTGGTTTGAAGTTGGAAGAGAGACTAAGGGTTTTGAACTAAGTCAGCTTGGTCAATTGTCGAACTTGGAGGTTCACTTTCCATTAGTAGTCTTGAAAGGATACGGGCAATGGAGGATGTGCATAAGGCAAGATTGAAACAAATAAAACATTTGCACAAGCTAACACTAGAATGGGATGCCAATCGACCTAAGAAAGATACCATACATGAAGAAAATGTATTGGAGATTCTTATACTACCTAGTGCTCTTAAAGACCTTTGCATTAGAGGCCATGGAGGTACTAAATGCCCGCAATGGCTAGGTGAGAACCTCTCTGTCAAAAAATTGGAATCGCTTCATCTAGATGGTGTAGCTTGGAATATATTTCCACCTATAGGAGAGTTCTCTCTAGTTAATGAGCCGCGTGAAGAAATTTCGAATAATAATATCTGCCATGATAAGTTTCAAAATTTGAAGAGTCTGGAACTAGTTATGCTACCAAGTTTAAGAAGCTGGATTGTCAAGGCACCTTGTCATCTGTTTGCTCAATTGGAGGTGCTTGTCATTAGGGATTGCCGTGAACTAACGGAATTGTCATTTTCACATTATGCTTGCTGTCAGCAACAGAAAGAGGCAAAGATAAATTGGTTTCCTAGACTACGGGAGCTCAAAATAAAAAAATGTCCAAAATTGTTGTCTTTTCCTCCTGTTCCTTGGACTAGGGCTCCGTGCTCAGCTGAGATAGAAGGAGTTGGTTCAGGCCTTGAGGAACTTGTTTGTAAAGAGAATTACAAATCTGAATATCGCTTGAAAATTAAGATGAAGGGTGCTCTGGTTAGTGAGTTATGGAATATGTTGGCCTTTGATAATCTAAATGAAGTAAAAGACTTGAAGATGGACACATGCCCTCCTCTCCCACTGCATCACATCCAAATGCTATCATCCCTAAAGAGCCTCAGGTTATACGGAGCTTCAAGTATTGTCTTTCCGTTGGTAGAAGGTGAGAGGCATGCCGAATATCAATCTCCAGTTGAACACATAGCCATTGATGGGTGGGATGCTAGTGCGAAAGAATTGACACAGCTACTGACTTATTTCCCCAAGCTCTCTGAACTGAACATGCAGTCATGTAAGAAGATTACTGGGCTAGCTGTAGTGGAGAAGCAGGCAACAGAAACACCTGCGCTGGTATCTTCAGATAATAAAGTAGACGACGATGTAGAAATCGAGCACAGGAAGGCACAAGAGGAGAGGAGGAAATAGACGCATCATCAGCAGAAGGGCTGCTGCTCTTGCCTTCCCAACTACAGATGTTGTCCATATCCCGCTGCCCAGAGCTGAGCCTCTGCTCATGCTCCGTCCAGCCGACTACAGTACAACAAAGAAGCAGGACGAACTAGTACAGGAAGAGGGCTCCAAGGTTTGCGCTCCCTCCGATCGTTGAGGATCAGTGATTGCCCCAGGTTCCTCTCCTCCTATTCGTCATCCTCCTCTTCTTCGTGTTTCCCTTCCCACCCTCCCTGGAACACCTCTATCTTAAAGGCGCGGTGGGCACGGGCGACGCCTTGCCCTCTCTCAAACCTCGCCTCTCTCACAAATTTAACCATATGGGAATGTGGGGATTTAAGAGTCGAGGGACTGCGGCATCTCCTCGCGCAAGATCGTCTCACCAAATTAGAGGTCAGCGAAACACCCAATTTCTTCGCTGGTCCCGAGCCCCCGCTGCCCCATGAACAAGAGTTCCCATCCTCTTCCTCCAAACTGCAGGAGCTTGAGACAGATGACGTCGCGGGCGTCCTTGCTGCGCCCATCTGTACCTTGCTCTCTTCCTCGCTCACCGATTTGAGATTTTGGGGGGACGAAAAGGTGGATCGCTTCACAAAGGTGCAAGAGGACGCCCTTCGGCTCCTCACATCTCTCGAGGAGATCACATTTCAGGGGTGCGACAAGCTGCAGGGCCCTGCAGGGCTTCAAGGACTACGCAACCTCAAGAGATTAAACATATACAATTGTATAGCCATCCGGTTGCTGCCCAAGGATGGCCTCCCAATTTCACTGCAAAAGTTGGCGATAGACGGATGTCCAGCCATCCGGTCTCTGCCCAAGGACTGCCTCCCAAGTTCACTACAAGAGTTGAATATAAGCGATTGTCAAGCCATCCAGTCTCTCCCCAAGGACTGCCTCCCAAGTTCACTACAAGAGTTGAATATAAGCGATTGTCCAGCCATCCAATCTCTCCCCAAGGACTGCCTCCCAAGTTCACTGCAAAAATTAGTGATCAGAGGATGCCCAGCCATTCGATCGCTGCCCAAGGCGAATGACCTACCAAGTCCACTCCGAGAATTGGATGTCCGGTATAGCAGAAACGAGGAGCTAAGAAGGCAGTGCCGCAAGTTGATTGGAATCATTCCAGTTGTCTACGCCTGACTCAGCCAAGGTAACAAAGAGGTGGAGCTTCCTACCCACCAATTTTGCTTGCATTCGTTAATCCCATAAAAGTCAGTCGTTCTCCTTTTATTTATTTGACTGCAATCATGGTTTCCTTCAAAATAACCCACTTGTTTTCACCTACTGTGCAGGGCTCTTTCTCAAATTGTACATTCTTCTAACCTCCGGATTCTCACTGTATCTACACACGATTCTGAGTTGTCAAGCATTAACAACATGTCAACATCTCAGGATGAGCCTAACACCCTGTACATGAAAATGGTTAGTATCCTATATGCAAAATACCCTTCAGTCCCATACAACATTTACAAGTTTGATCCACATTTTGATAATCTACTGCCTGTTGCTTTTGTTATTTGGATGCCTTTTGTTTATAATCATCATATAGTTCGAAACATCTGTATTGTACTTGAGAAAACTATCAATAGAGAGAATTTTCTCACTCACAGAATACTGAAGTGTGAGTTTAGCTGTTTTAGAATGCCTCGCAGCTTGCAAAATATGCTCCATCTAATTTCAAGTTGTCTTGGGGGCACTGCTACAGAAATAAGTACTTGTTAGTTTATTTGTTTATTCTCGATTTTGCTAGTTTACAAGAATAGTGCTTCTTAGATTGTAGAACCTTGTTTGACTACTTGCCTTTTGCATCCTTATGTTTTCTTTTTAACTACGAGAGTACTTGTTACTTCTGAACTCTGATGTCCTAATTTCATTGCGCAATATTGAGCTGATTTGTTGTATAATCACAATAATTTACTGTCTGCTTTGTTGTATTTCAAGTTAGCGTAACTATTGGGGTTTAATGAACTTCATGTTCGTATGTATTCTCACTTTCTCAGTATCTGCAGGATTTCTGTTCTGACTACATAACAAGTGAATGGTGCTAACCTCAAATACTATCATACTGCCACTACGTTTTGTAGATCATCTCCATTGGATCATCCTAACTATTATATATAATAGAACAACTCTGAGATCAGATTATAGTAGTGCAAGGTAATTGCTCTTTGTTTTTTTCCTAATCACATGGACGTTAAGCCATTTTTACAGATACTATGTGTCGATGTTATGCAAGTGCTCCTTGACACGAACCCTACTTATTTTAACCTGCAGTTCACAAGGGTTCATCAAGTCCTTGAGCTGTACATCGTATAATCTTGTTGGATCTTTCTGAAACACACTGTTGCACCTTAGGGGATTGAGTGTGTATTCCTGTTGTTAGAAAATCCTTGTGTCAAAGGTAATTATACTATATTTGCTAGTTTTTAATGTTACCCATGGGAAAAAAATAGTGAGGTTGGAATTGTTTGTGATATTTTGGCTATTCAGAATTAAGATTGTTGTGTGCCCACGTTTGAGGCTTTAGAAATGACGTAGCATGAGAAGATATTTGTTTTGCGAGCACTGACTGAAGATGTTGAGCTGAGTTTTTTTCTTATGGAAAAACCGAATGTTCTTCCATCCGTTTTAAAGAAAATCATTGTTTCAATACTTCTATAAATCAACAGCAATAATAACAAGGATACATATGCATTGTGTCCTGGTAGCAGATTGCTAACTAGGAATGCATTGTATTGTCCTGATCAGCCAACTAAAGATCAGAAAGTAACATCTATGTTGATCAACTGCACATGTTCAAATATGGGTATCTTGTGATATAACCATAAGTGTTTAGTGGCTTCGTAACTTATTATTTACATCACTTGTGTAGAGTATATCCTCTGAAGGTTGAACCCCAATGTGGCCACGGAACACATATGTAGGCAAAAGTTGTGGTAATGAAGGCAATATTCTGCAACTGCAACAGCCAAAAATGATTATTGTTAAGTACATGCACCTTTGTCTGCTAAGTCCTCAAGTATTAAGTTTTCAACTACAGGTTGCATATTATTTCCTAAGCATGCTGCCAACAGACCTGATGTTCTGGACTCTTGCCTACATCCTTGCACATGGATGTTCTGTATTAAACTAAAAACACCTCAAAGTTCAGCTTGTTGAGCTCGTGGGACCTTCATATGAAAAAACGAATCTGGTAAGTACCTCGAGTATACTAAATTTTGCTTTAGTTCCTTCTTTTTTTTGTTATGAATTACTCTGAAATGTTTACTTTGATGAAGTGGTGAACACTTAAATCTTTATTGATATTTTTGCCACAAGATGTAATGAGGAAGGTACTGGCAGAAATGGGCAGTGTTTGGTATTCTGAAAACATGTTAAATCAGTTCAAAATGTTGAGACACAATTGAATTATAAATGTTTTCGTGTCAGGCCATCTCAAATGATGCAGATATCAGTCAAGTCATGTTGTTGCTTAGTAAATTACCGTGCTGCTCTGAACTGTCCATGATAATAGCATGCATCACTTCAGTATTTTGTAATTGTGTGTAATTTGTTCCCTCTAGTAAATTTGGCTATCCTGGTGAAAAATGAAATTCTACCTTTGGACTCTCTATTTTAGACTATAAAGGAGATTAGGAGATGCACATATCTGACATGATTTGAATTTGCATATAATAAACTGATACTCTGTTAATTGGCAAGTAATATTTTGAACTGACTGTAATTCTCTAGTGCACAAGTAATTTAAATTCTCATTATTATGCTATAATAACTTGTTTCCTTATACTTTATTTCACTTATTATAATGTAATGGAAATTTCCTTCACAAATTTCTTCTTTTCTTTCTTCATGCAGTGAACATTGATGGAAAAGATAAATAAGAAGATTTACAAGCGCCATTCTCAATCACCTTAGGTAGCATTACAGATAGTTAGGTACCATAGTTATGTTTTCTTTAACCGTGAATTATGTTTTTACTTGTTATGCTTTCCATGTCACAGGAGCACAACTTGTTCTTCTGCTAGACCACAAGCTATCCTGCTCAAGTGCACAAGTGCAAGCTTGCCTAGTGCTGCTCAAGTGCTGACAACAGTAAGAGCTTCACTTTTGTCGATCTTCAAGATTCAGTTACAAATGATTCAGTTGGAGATGCATAGATGCCCTCCTCTCCCACTTCATCATTTCCAAAGAGGGCTCCAAGGTTTGCGCTCCCTCCGATCGTTGGAGATCAGTGATTGCCCCAGGTTCCTCTCTTCCTATTCGTCATCCTCCTCTTCTTCGTGTTTCCCCTTCCCACCCTCCCTGGAACACCTCTCTCTTCAAGGCGCGGTGGGCACGCCGTTGCCTCTCTCAAACCTCGCCTCTCTCACAGATTTAACCATATGGAGATGTGGAGTCGAGGGACTACGGCATCTCCTCGCCCATGGTCGTCTCACCAAATTAGCCGTCAACAGAACCCCCTATTTCTTCGCTGGTCCTGAGCCCCCGCTGCCCCATGAATGAGTTCCCATCCTCTTCCTCCAAACTGCAAGTGCTTGAGACGGATGACATCATGGGCGCCTCCTTGCCGCCATCATCTGTACCTTGCTCTCTCCCTCGCTCACCGATTTGAGATTTTGTTGGGACGAAGAGGTGGATCGCTTCACAAAGGAGCAAGAGGACGCCCTTCAGCTCCTCACCTCTCTCGAGATCACATTTTGGTTCTCTGACAAGCTGCAGTGCCTCCCTGCTGGGCTTCATGGACTCCCCAACCTCAAGAGATTAAACATATATAGATGTCAAGCCATCCGATCGCTGCCCAAGGATGGCCTCCCAAGTTCACTGCAAAAATTAAAGATCAATAGCTGCCCAGCCATTCGATCGCTGCCCAAGGCGAATGAACTACCAAGTTCACTCCGAGGATGTCCGGGATAGCGAAAACAAGGAGCTAAGAAGGCAGTGCCGCAAGTTGATTGGAATCATTCCAGTTGTCTACGCCTGACTCAGCCAAGGTAACAAAGAGGTGGAACTTCCTACCCACCAATTTTGCTTGCATTCGTTAATCCCATAAAAGTCAGTCGTTCTCCTTTTATTTATTTGACTGCAATCATGATTTCCTTCCAAATAACCCACTTGTTTTCACCTACTTTGCAGGGCTCTTTCTCAAATTGTACATTCTTCTAACCTCCGGATTCTCACTGTATCTACACATGATTCTGAGTGTCAAGCATTAACATCTCAGGATGTGCCTAACACCTGTACATAAAAATTGTTAGTATCCTATATGCAAAATACCTTTAGTTCAATACAATATTTACAAGTTTGATCCACGTTTTGTTAATCTTCTGCCTGTTGCTTTTATTATTTGCATGCCTTTTGTTTATAATCGTCATGTAGCTCGAAACCATCTGTATTATAGTTGAGAAAACTATTAATGAGAGAATTTTCTCACTCACAGAATATTGAAGTGTGAGTTTAGCTATTTTAGAATGCCTCACAGCTGTTGGCCCTTGGAACCACGAGATGGATCTCAGATTTAGATCGGATCTGGGAAAGCAGTGAGGGCAGCTTGGCCTTGGCCGCTTGTTGGAATTAGAAATGCAATGGCTTGTTTGTACAATAGCATTGCCCCGCTTTTTTATGGGCAAGGGCGTAGAGCATCTTCTACTTTTTCCACTTGCTCAAGCATATCCTAGCCACTAAAGTAGATCTTTGAGCATATTCCTAATGCAAAATTAAACTTGCGAGAAAAAGTAAGATACAAGTCCGAGCACTAGGCTTATCTATCATTCTCCCCTAAGCCTTGTGCCGAGCATTGAAGTGATCTCGTCAGAGCCCAATCCTTTCCCTCATCTCTTGGAACTTGGACTTTCCCAGCGACTTGGTGAGGATATCAGCCAGCTGATCAGTGGTGGCAATGTGGCTGGCCTTGATGCTCCCATCCTCCAAACAATCCCTGATGAAGTGGTACTTGATGCGAATGTGCTTGCTTCTTTCATGGAAGACATGATTCTTGGCCAGAGCTAGAGCAGACTTGCTGTCCACCTTTAGCTCAACCACATCCACATTCCTGCCAAGGAGCTCGCCAAGATCCTTGACAACCATAGTGCTCGAGTTGCTGCGATGAGCCGATTTGCCTGCCATTTGTTTGGGGCCCCGCC